TAGTTTGTTATGACTTTTTGTTTGAAATATTGTTGGTTCTTTCTGTGTTCTGTTTTTCAAAAATCAAGAAAATAATTTTCTGTCTTTTGAGCTATTTGTAACTTTTCAAGCAATGTATATACTTATGAACAGAGTTTAAAACACGTGTTTTTTTCTCTGTCCTTGATTTCTCCAGAATTTACAAGCCATTTGTAAATATTCTTAATTTCTAACAATACAGTTATTTGCATTAGTTCAATAAGAATGTTTTTTTTCTATAAAATATGATAAAGGCACTGGTTATTTTACCAAGGCTTTGTCTGGAATAACACTTCCGGAGATGTCCAGATTGAGTTAAGGGATTAAAGTTGACTTTATAAAGCCAATAAAAAGCCCTTTGGAAAACTGGCCAGATACCCATCAGTAACATTTCCTGATCTGTGGTAAGTAAGGAAGGTAACTTTCTGACAGGTCTGGGAGTCAAAATATGCTTGGGGAATATCAAGAAAAGAGGAATTTACCCAATGCACATAGGTATCTAATGGCACAGATGAAACCTGGGCTCGTGAAAGGCTTCAAGTCCAACTGAGATCCCATACAAAGGATTCTAGCAAAGCCAATTTTTTTTTAAAAAGCCTAATTGGCTAATAATTAATTATTCTTACTGTACTCTATGCAAATAATCAAACCCAGTATACTGAAGGTACTGTTTATTTTAACAACTGCTTTAGTGGAAAGAGAAATCAGAGAGAGAAAAATAGTACAAAAAAACCATAGCCCGCCTGTACTAAACTAATTTATTAAATGAAAAAGACTGACCAATTAAATATAAGCCTTGCCACTAGTGTTACTCAAAAACCTTCGTCAATCTTCTGCAATTTAACAGGAACTCCTAAAATAACTGAAAGAGAGTGAATTAAATAGACAATTGAATAATTAACTGTGTTCTACTATAGCAGAACCTCCAACCTGGAGAGTGAGTGTGGCAATCAAAGTTGGAAAGAAAAAGCCATAAATCCACTACCCCCACAACCAACAAGATCAGAAGAAAAAAGCTGTAACAACTTTTCTTCAGACAAACAGTCCTATAGGGGAGTGGGAAATTATTACTGTAAAAACTGAAGCTGTAAAACAGGTTACCCAGCTTACAAGCTCCTCCCACCCTCAGGCCACATCTCCTAGTTACTTAATAACTCCAAGAAACTTAGTTCACATATTCCACTAGTTTAACCCCTTACTCCACAGTCATAAACACCACAGCTCTAACCACCAAGCCCCTCAGAATTAACTCCATCATCTTCAAGTCAGATGAATTAAGGGTTTAATTACCCAAGAAGACCAGTGGGGAATGCTGCAAGCACTCCCAGCCTGTTCTCCTGCCCTCTACCATTCCTCCACCCTCTCTCCCAGCCCATTCCCCTGCTCTATGCGATCGCCCAGCCTGTTCCTATGCTTGGCAGAGTCGAAGCACAGGAAGTCCCAAGTTTCACAAAGCCCCCCCAAGTTCTCAGTGGATGAACAATGGTGGAAATCCACCAAGGCTGTATTAATCATGGTTACATAACTATAACCATTGTGATTTAAGATATATCCATTGTCAACCAAGGCTGTATTAATCATTGTTACATAACTGTAACCATTGCAGTATCCATGACTACCCAAGCTGTAATCCCCCCAACTCAGCATCCATTTTGAGCAGCAAACTTAACACTGGAATTCCACTCAGAAGAAATTATCCTTTATAACCAATTTAACTCTTGAAACTGAAAGATTTTATTACTAGTAATACACATATTAAATATCAATGTAAATTAATTTGGATAAAACTATGCATAACTACCTATTAAGGCAATCAATAAAGCTATTTTCTATTTTTGTGGGAAAGATTTTTAAAGTATTCTGTCTGAGGGAAACTGGCCTTTTGAAACCACATTCTTATGGACAATTGTAACATCTGGATAGTCATTGAGAGAATTATTGACCTTAGACTATAAGAATATGTATCCAACACAGTTGAAATCAGGTTGGAGGGTGAGATGATGAGAGCAATAGAAAAATGAACAGAGATAAACATCACGTATTATAGAACTGGTGGCTCCAGGAGATACAGAATATTAAAAGCATCATAAGCCTGGATAGTAGAGACTATGGACTGTATTTGTGTATCCTGCCAAATTCAGCTATAGAAACCCTAATCTCCAATGTCATAATATATGGATATGGAGCCTTTGGAAGGTAATTAGGTCATGGGAGTGGAGCCCTCACGATAGAATTGGACCTCTTATAAGAGGAGACACGAAGGGGTTATCTCTCTCTCTCTCTGTCTCTCCCCTTCCCCTTGTACATATACTCATGAGAACAAAGCAGGAAGGTATCCATGAACCAGGAGAAGAGCCATTACCAGAACCCTACCATCCATGCACCCTTTTGTCATAGGTTCTAGACTATAAATACTTGTTATTTATACCATTCAGTCTGCAGTGATATGTTATTGTAGCCCAAAATGAACAAGGAAGCCACTATTTGATTAGAGGAGGCCTGCTCTGTGTTCTAGGGAAGAAATTTATTATTGAATAGAGCACCCCAGTAGCAAGATTTAGAACAAAATGTAAGTATATGTTCAAAGTAATTACCTAGGCTGAGCTGGCAACTAGACCTGGTTCAATTCTGCTTTGGATGGTGTAGACCTGGAGCATCATCTTCCCCATGACATGCCCCACTCATTTCTCTAAGGATGAAGCAGTTGACTAAAAGTTGTCTCTTATTCCATTGAGCTATGTTATTTCTCAAGGCATTCACTCACTCCTACATATTCCTTCTAGGCATCTGCTACTTGGTAAATGGAGATCCCATGTCTATATCACGGTTCATGCCTCATCTCCTAACACTGTCTGCCATCTCCCTCAGCCCTGCCTGTGGGCATGGGCTCATCTACAGCATACCTCCTGTATATCCTGTGGT